TTCTAAGCTAAAAACCAAATTTACCTGGAATCAAGAAAGGACAGGGAAGAAAAAATACAAATGCTATGAAAACTTACAGGATTTAAGCATTTCAGATGCAATGTGTCTATATCAGGATAGGGTTTTGATTAGTGGTTTGCCCTCAGAAACTGTTACTATCATCCTACCTTTCTATGGCAAAAAAAAAAAAAAAATCAAATCTTTTGTTTTTGAGAATCTTCATTTGTCACCCTAGGTAGAGTGCCCAGGCGTCAGAACTCATAGCAACCTCAAATTCTTGGGCTCAAGTAATCCTCTTGCCTCAGCCTCCCAAGTAGCTGGAACTACAGGCACCAGCCCCAACACTTGGCTAGTTTTTGGTAGAGATAAGAACTCGCTCTTGCTCAGGGTGGTGCCTGTGGCTCAGTGGGTAGAGCGATGACCCCATATACCAAGGGTGGCGGGTTTGAACCAGCCCCAGCCAAACTGCAACAAAAAATAGCCAGGCGTTGTGTCAGGCACCTGTAGTCTCAGCTACTTGGGAGGCTGAAGCAAGAGAATTGCTTAAGCTCAAGACTCTGAGGTTGCTGTGAGCTATGACACCACAGCACTCTATCGAGGGTGACACAGACTATGTCTCAAAAAAAAAAAAAAATAATAAGGGTGGTGGTGCCCATAGCTCAGTGGGTAGGGCACCAGCCACATACATACACTCAGGCTGGTAGGTTTCAACCCAGCCCAGGCCAGCTAAACAAGAATTACAACTGCATCAACAAAAAAAAAATAGCTGGGCATTGTAGTGGGCACCTGTAGTCCCAGCGACTTGGGAGGCTGAGGCAAGAGAGTGGCTCAAGCCAGAGAGTATGAGGTTGCTGTCAGCTATGATGCCATAGCACTCTACCAAGGTTGAGCTAGTGAGACTCTGTCTCAAAATAATAATAATTTCACAAATATCCTTTTTGTAAGGCAATAAACATGGCTTCATAGGACCTACTATAAGAGGAACCTACTAGCAATTCACCATTGTAGAGTCTCTATCCTAAACTAATAACATTGTATCTCCTTAGAAATCTCAGCTAGCAAAAAAGAATACACAGTCAACTTATTTCACAGGTTGTAACTTTGCATGACAACCAGGAGTATTTTAAACTCATTAAAAAAAAAAAAAAACACCTGTCATGAAGTTAATACAGATTTCAGCTTCCCCCCTCCCCCTTGGAGACAGAGTCTCACTGTGATGCTCTCGGTAGAGTTCCGTGGCGTCAAAGCTCAAAACAAACTCCAGCTCTTGGGCTTAGGCGATTCTCTTGCCTCAGCCTCCCAAGTAGCTGGGACTACAGCCACCTGCCTTGACACCTACCTATTTTTTTTGTTGTTGTTGTTGCAGTTTGGCCAGGACCAAGTGCGAATCTGCCACCCTCAGTATATGGGGCCAGTATCTTAACTCACTAAGCCACAGGCGCCACCCAAGATTTCAGCTTTTGATAGTAAAAAAATTTCCTCCACAATCTTATTCATTTTGAAAACAAACTTCTAGCATAACTGCTCTCAAAACAGAACAAAAACACTGAAGGAAAAACTACAAAACTAGATTTTTTTTTTCTTTTCAGAGACAGAGTCTCACTTTGCCAGTCCTGGTAGAGTACCCTGGAGTCACAGCTCATAACAACCTCATTCTCTTGGGCTCAAGCAATTCTCTTGCCTCAGCCTCCCAGTAGCTGGGACTATAGGTGCCTGCCACAACGCCTGGCTATTTTTAGAATGGGGTCTTGCTTTAGCTCAGGCTGGTCTCAAACCTGTGAGCTGAGGCAATCCGCCCACCTTGGCCTCCCAAAGTGATGAGATCATAGGCGCAAGCCACCAAGCCCACCCTACAAAACAAGATTTTAGAATCTAAATGTCTTCTAAACACAATTAAGGCCTTTTTCATTTCCCTGAAAGATGATGTACCAATAAATGGTGAAATGAAATAGATTAAGGCTAGCCCCAAAACTTACCCTCAAACTGTCTCCAGAAAGGAATAAATTGTAGGGGTTGAGGATTCGTTCATAATGCCCTCTGATATGTGAGCCCACAGCTTTGCCAGGAGCAAACCCCATCTTGGTGGCAATTTTGGTCCATTTTCGGTCCTTGCAAACAACTGCAAATCCACCTTCTTCTGCAACTAACTGTTAAAATAGCAAAAGAAATTAGAAAAAGCTATATTGAAATAACTCCTGATTCTTCCTGCCTAGGTATGACTCTGAGAACCAAATGTTCTTGGCTTTAGTTACCTTTTAAAAATACATTTCCCAAGTAAAAGTGAAAAAATACATGCACTATTAATTTTAAGCTACCGAACTGAAACATCTCTTTTGGCAGCATGGTCCATAAACATTTTATCCTCCTCAAAGCTACTTCTCACTTTGCCAAAGCAGTCATCAGGGAAGAAAGACTAAGTTAACAATTAAATCTGCACTACAGAAAGGGATCAAGTACTTGGCTCTTTTCTATGACTTTTAAAATCTCCATAAAGAGTCAGAAGCATGGTAGCAAGTTTGACGGAAAGAATGCAGGCTTCAGAATTAAGTGAACCTGGTAATGAATTATGTTAGCCTTTTTAACTTGGTCAATTTTCTTTATCACCCTGAGCCTCAGGTTCCTTATTTGTAATAGCAGAAAGGAACAGACTGCAGGATTTTTATAAAGCCTGAAAATGACAAAAACAGGTAGCAGCAAAATATTTCCCAAGATAAGGCTGCCAGGCCTGAGAAGCAGAGCCTCCTACCCACCATTCAACTGAATTGAATACCTCACACAATAAGTTTATTTTTAGGCAAAGATCAAATTCATCCTGTCAGAAAGATTATTAAATAAGTAAGATTGTCATTAGTCCTTTACCTTATTAAGCTGAAACAAGTCTAAGATCTTCCTTTCCACATGTGGAATTTTCAGAGTACTTCCCTGTAATTCCCAGTATTTTGCAATCTGGTCCAAGAAATTCAATTTCACACGAGTTTGAGCCTAAATGACAAAAAATTGAGATTTAAACTCAATTAGCTTATTTTAAAGCTCCTGCTTATTACCTGCCCATATAATATTTTCGTTCTTAGACTATTTAAGTACAACAACCACTTTATGAATGAATTCAAAAGAGAAACAGCCTTCACAATGTATAACAGCCAAGGGAGTTAAACAGTGAGTAAACCCTTCTGTAACATAAGTAAGCACTCTCACTGAGACTTCATTTAAGTAATACTATAGGGCCAGGCAAGGTGGGAGACTGAGGCAGGTAGACTGCCTGAGCTCTCAGGTTCCAGACCACCCTGAGCAAGAGTGAGACTTCATCTCTAAAAATACATGGGTGTGGTGGCAGGTGCCTGTAGTCCCAGTTACTCAGGAAGCTGAGGCAAGAGAATTGCTTCAGCCCAAGAGTTTGAGGCTATTGTGAGCTATGACAGACACCATGGCACTCTATGTAGGGTGATAAAGATTCTGTCTCAAAAAAAAAAAAAAAGTAGAAGAAAAAAAAGGAAAAGAGAGAGAGAGAGAGAGAGAGAGATGGGCGGTGCCTGTGGCTCAAAGGAGTAGGGCGCCCGCCCCATATGCCAGAGGTGGCAGGTTCAAACCCAGCCCTGGCCAAAAACTGCAAAAAAAGAGAGAGAGAAAGAAGTACTTTATAAGCACAATTTCATGGGCAGTTTTTAGGTCTTTTTTATTTACTTATTTATTTTTTGAGACAGAGTCTTTGTATGTCACCCTCAATAGAGTGCCGTAGCGTCACACCTCACAGCAACCTCAAACTCTCAGGCTGAAGTAATTCTCTTGCCTCAGCTTCCCAAGTAACTGGGACTACAGGCACCTGCCACAACGCCGGCTCTTTTGTTGTTGTTGCAGTTGTCATTGTTGTTGTTGCAGTTGTCATTGTTGTTTAGCTGGCCTGGGCTGGATTAGAACCCACCACCCTCCGTGTATTTGACCGGCACCATAACCACTGTGCTACGGGCCCCGAGCCAGTTTTGAGGTCTTTTAAAAGTTGTTTAGAGATAAGGTCTCACTCTGGTCACCCAGGCCAGAGCATGGTGGCATCTCAACTCCCAAGTAAGCTAGAACTTATAGGAGCACACCACTAGACCCAGCTAATTTATTTTTTATAGAGACAGGGGTCTCACTATGTTATTCAGGCTGGTCTCAAACTCCTTAGCTAAAGCCGTACTCCTGCTTCAGATGCCCAAAGTGCTAGGATTAGAGGTGTGTGCCACCTCAGCCAGCCACAATTTCATGTTGTTGAAAATTCTGACAACTAAGCAAGCTTTTATGTGCCTAACTTAGTCTCTTAACAATTAGGTATTTTAAAGGTCTGTTCTCTACTAAAAAGGAATTTTTTATTGCTCAAACACAAATCAAAAAACAGATTTACTAATAATCTCTAACAATTTCAATATGCCCTAATACTTTCAAAGAAGGCCCATGAGCCCATCTGGAACGCAGGCAACCAGAACATTAGTGAGGATGTTACCTCTAATTCATTCAGCCTCTGGATACGTGGGGTAAAATGAAGTTTATCAACATCACATGCAAATGGTGGCTGCCAATCCTAGAAGAAAGCAAAAGCTCTTATTAGAAGAATTTATAGCTCTTTGACAGTTAAAAAATTGTTTTAAAATTAAAACCCAAGTGCTAGCTTCAGTGGCATATACACTAAAAATTAAAACTGAAGTAAACCCACTTCTAACAAAACAGAATAGAATATAGGCTAGGAGTTTCTCAACCTCCTTCCTACTACAACAGCATAGAGTATGTCTGAACACCCTTTCCCAAATAAATAATAGAGCCCATATAGACCTGTAGCTGACCCACTGAATAAATGTCACTGAGCCTCAACCCTCCTTTAAACAAAACACCAGTGATTTAGGCAAAAGAGACTTTGATTTCTCTTTTACTGTGGAAGCATCTCTGTATAAAACAGCTATACTGACCGGGCATAGTTCAAGGAATATATCCTCACTCTTAGCCTGAGCAAGAGCATGGCCCCCAGCCCAGCACAGTGTTTCAGGTCAGTAATCCCAGCACTCTGGGAGGCCTACGTATATGGATCGCCTGAGTCAGGACTTTAAGACCAACCTGAGCCAAGAGTGAGACCCCATCACTAAAAAACAGTCAGATGTTATGGCATGTACCTATAATCCCAGCTACTTGGGAGGCTGAGGCAAGAGGATCACTTGAGCCTAGGAGTTTAAGGATGCTGTGTGCTATGACGCCATGGCACTCTAACTAACAGTGGTAAGAAAGTAAGACTCTGTCTCAAATAAATAAATAAATAAATAGAGCGAGATCCTATCTCTACCAAAAATAAAAAAACTAGCGGGGTATTATGGTAGTGTCTGTAATCCTAATACTCAGAAGTCTGAGGCAGGAGGATCACTTGAACCCGAGAGTCTGAGGTTGCTGTCAGCTAGGCTGCCATCACAGCACTCTAGGCTGGGTCAATATAGCGAGACTCTGTCTAAATAAATAAATAGGGTGGCACCTGTGGCTCGGTGAGCACGACGCTGGCCCCATATACCAAGGGTGGTGGGTTCTAACCCGCCTGGCCAAACTGCAACAAAAAATAGCTGGGCGTTATGGCGGGTGCCTGTCGTCCCAGCTGCTCGAGAGGCAGAGGCAAGAGAATCACCTAAGCCTAGCAGTTGGAGGTTGCTGTGAGCTATGATGCCACAGCACTCTACCAAGGACTATAAAGTTAGACACTGTCTCTGAAAAAAAAAAAAATTCATTTATTTGCCGGGCGTGGTGGCTCACGCCTGTAATCCTAGCACTCTGGGAGGCCAAGGTGGGTAGACAGCTTGAGCTCACGAGTTTGAGAGCAGCCTGAGCAAAAGCAAGACCCCATCTCTACTAAAAATAGAAAACCTGGGCAGCACCTGTTGCTCAGTGAGTAGGGCACCGGCCCCATATACAGAGGGTGGCAGGTTCAAACCCAGTCCCAGCCAAACTGCAATAAAAAAATAGCTGGGCATTGTGACAGGCGCCCATAAGTCCCAGCTACTCGGGAGGCTGAGGCAACAGAATCGCCTAAGCTGAAGAGCTGGAAGTTGCTGTGAGCTGTGACGCCATGGCACTCTACCCAGGAGGATGGCTCGAAACATAATAATAACAATAATAAATAATAAAAGTAAAAATAAAATAAAAATAGAAAAACTGAGGCAGGAAGATCTCTTGAGCCCAAGTTGCCGGTTGCTGTGAGCTATGATTCCATAGCACTCTACCCAGGGCAACAGTTTGAGGCTCTGTCTCCAAAAAAAAAAAGAAAAGTCCACTTATTTTCCTTAGCACTCAAAAATGTATTCCTTTGGAAGTCAATTAAATAGAAAGTTGAAAATCCGAAATCCTTAGAGGCCTGAGAAACATCAGGTAAATATTTTCCTCAGTCTCAGCTCTAACCTAGCAACAACTTAACGCACATTTAAGAGAGAAATGTTTCAAAGATAAACTATTGATCCATGTGAGAATAAACTTCCAAAAGGCACTAAAGATTTTTCCCCAAAATGCTATGAAAATTCACTGTGTAGATGATCCCTTATTAGTATCTACATATGTAATATATTAGAATGCATTTTAATCTGTGTAATTATAGAGAGTCTGTCATCATTCTGAGATCCGATAATTAACATAATGTAAAGTATACTCTCTACAGAAGCTACACAAGCTAGTTCTGATTCCCTGAAGACAAAACCAATTAGAAATCAGTGTCAAAGGCACATTCTTGTTAGTTTACAAAGAATAACACTAACAACTAAAGCATTTTAAAAATTGTGTATGTTGGGTGGTGCCTATGGCTCAAGTGAGTAGGGAGGCAGCCCCATATACAGAGGGTGGCAGGTTCAAACTAGTTCCAGTCAAACTGCAACAAAAAAAAGTGAGGTGTTGTGACAGGTGCCTGTGGTCCCAGCTACTCGGGAGGCTAAACCACAGGAGTTGAAGGTAGCTGTGAGGTGTGACACCACGGCACTCTACCAAGGGCAATAAAGTGAGACTCTGTCTCTAAAATAAATAAATAAATAAAAATCAGAAGGATCAGCTCATGACTATAATCCCAGCACTTTGGAAGGCTGGAGTGAGAGGATCGCTGAGGCTGGGAGTTAAGACCAGACTGGGCGGTTCAGCGACTGTGGCTCAAGTGGCTAAAGCTCCAGCCACAAACACGTATGGTGGCGGGTTCGAATCCAGCCTGGGCCCACCAAAAACAACAATGACGGCTGCAACCAAAAAATAGCCGGGCGTTTTGGAAGCCAAGACAGAGGTCTCCACAAATATTAAAAGGAAAAGGCCAGACATGATGTTATTTACCTGAAGTCCCTGCTATTAGAGATTGGGTAAGGCAGACAGACTGCTGTGAGATAAACTGGGACACCATGGCACTCTAGCCTGGGTGACAGAGCAAACTGTCTCAAGCCAAAAAACAGAGAAATTAAGATTGAGACTTTTTAAAATGAATTAATCTCTTTAGTGTTTAATGCATTGTTTTATAAGTATTTCAAAATCTCTAAAAATGTCTTGTTTAAGAGAAATAAGCTAGATTTCAATTTCTTCTGCAATCAGTTGTAGTGTATTTTGATTAAAAGTATATGGGCGCCTGTGGTCCCAGCTACTTGGGAGGCTGAGGCAGGAGACTCGCTTGAGCCCAGGAGTTGGAGGTTGCTGTAAGCTGTGAAGCCACAGCACTCTACCAAGGGGGATAGCCTCAGGCTCAGTCTCAAAAAAAAAAAAAAAGTATATGAAGAAAATCTGGTAATATTTAGTTGAAATAGATACAGATGTTTCACAAAGATATTTAGTTGAAAAGCAGAAATTGTCAACTTGGCTCAGGTGCTTGTAGCTCAGTGGTTAGGGCACCGGCCACATACACTGGAGCTGGCGGGTTGGAACCCAGCCAGGGCCTGCTAAATAACAATGACAACTACAACCAAAAAATAGCCGGGCATTGTAGTGGGCACCTGTACTCCCAGCTACTTGGGAGGCTGAGGCAAGAGAATCACTGAAGCCTAAGAGTTTGAGGTTGCTGTGAGCTGTGACACCACTGCACTCTACCCAGGGTGACAGCTCGAGGCTCTGTCTTAAA